AAAAAAAAGCTAAACAAAACACCCCAAAAAAAATTTACATTTTCATAATAAAATAAGTCAAAATTTCAGCATTATCCGATTTCAGCATCATCCCCGACATTATTTATCAATTTTATTAATTATTATTATTTATTACAATTAGTTAAATTTAAAATTTTATTTTATTTTGTTTACAAAATATTACAAAAATAATTTCTATTACTATTTTCTCGAACCCTTCTTTTTAATTCTTGTACCTCCTCTTTTAAGTTTACTATCTTAACCCTTAACCTATCTCTTTCGGTAATAACCTTCTGAAGCTAAGTCTCTTGAATAAAACTTTCTCTTGCTGCTTCCAAGACCGAAGGATTTCTTTCCGATGCTTCTGCTTCCAGACTTATAACTTGGTTATTCAACATAACCAACCCACTATAAACTGAATTTTCTTTTCAGTAATGAGGCATCTAAGGCATAAAGTTAATTAGAAACACATATTTCTAAATGTATAATTTGAAAAATAATAAAAGAAAACAATTAGAAAGACCTTTATCTCAAGAATATAACAAGCAAGGTCTATTACTTATAATATCAATTGAAATAAGTTCTTAACCTATTTGCACAAGAGATCACAAATATCGAAACAAAAGAGGAGGTACAAGAATTAAAAAGAAGGGTTCGAGAAAATAGTAATAGAAATTATTTTTGTAATATTTTGTAAACAAAATAAAATAAAATTTTAAATTTAACTAATTGTAATAAATAATAATAATTAATAAAATTGATAAATAATGTCGGGGATGATGCTGAAATCGGATAATGCTGAAATTTTGACTTATTTTATTATGAAAATGTAAATTTTTTTTGGGGTGTTTTGTTTAGCTTTTTTTTCATAGTTCGATTAGAATTTAGGGTTAGTGTTTATAATAAAAGAGTATAGGTGGATTTTAGTAGGATTTATATTTTCAAATTAAGGCCCCTAAATTTCAGTATCATCCGATTTCAGCATCATCCCCGACAAATAATAATAAATAAATAAATAATAAATTAATTGTTATAAAATATTAAATAAGGTTTTGAACAGGGAAAGAGTAAAGAAAATTGTTAAGTTTCGATAACAATAGTAGGTTGCCAATTCTGTTTTTTATAGTAGTGGGCAAGACAATTACTATTATAATATCTTAATAGTGTTTGTTCTTTTAATATTGAAAGTTTATAAGCTTCATTATTTAATTTAGCTTTAATAATATAAGGTTCTGTTCTTTCTTTTTGAACTTTGCAGATCGGGATGCTTTAATATTTTTTCGTTATATTTAAACTTTATCTTCTATTTCAAATTTTTTTAGTGTAATCTTAGAATCAAATTTCACTTTCTGTTTTTTCTGAGATTTGTTAGTATTTTTGCAAGATTGGCTATGTTGATAGGGTAACTCATTTATCAATTCAAATGCTCATTATAGGATACTATTTTCTAATGATATTTCTTAATCTGTTTCTTGTAGTTTTATTAGCAAGGTAGTTTCAATAGATAGTATAGCTTATCATCCATATACCAATTGAAAAAGTATATATCCTGTAGTTGCATATCATTTGGTCCTATATACAAATAAGACAGCAAATATATGTATATCCCAATCTTCATCTGTTTTTTTTACTTTTGCAAGAGAGTTGCAAAGTGTTCAGTTTAAGCATTCAACTATACTATTAGTTTGAGAATGGTATAGAAAAGAGAATAAGTGCTTTATCAAGAATTTTTCACACAAAATTCTGATAGTTTCATTAATAAAATATCTTTCATTATCAGAGAGTATCATTTTGGGTATACCATGTCTATACACAATTTCTTCGAATATAAATCTGGCTAGATTTTTGCTTCAGCATCTGGTATAGCTTTTGCTTCAGACCATTGGGTAAGATAGTCAGTAGCTACAATAATGTATCAATTATTTTGGGTAATAATTGGTAAAGGTCCTACTAGATCTATACTAATATACTCAAAAGCTTGTTCTACTTGAATAGGATGAAGGGGTTCTTTTCTTTTGCCTTTTCTCTCTTCTGGCAAGTCTCACATAAGCAAATATAATTCTGAATATCTTTATACATCTGATCTAAATAATATCTTTCAGATATTTTATAATACATAGCATCAGTTACTAAATGTCCAGCAGTTAGATGACTATGCATCATATAAAGAACTAGTTCTACTTCATTCCATTTAATTACTCGAATAGGTTTGTCTGAGTCTTTTTGATTCTTTTTATAAAACAAATTATTTTTGAGTTGATAAAATCTAGATTGTTTAACAAGCATCTATTTTTTAAAATCCGTTAAATCAAGGAGAATTTTGGCAGTGTTTAAATAGTTTACTAGGTTTTGATAGTGATCTAAATTCATATTACAGTCAGGGATTTTTTAAAATTTGAAGATCATTTCTAGAATAGTCTATAATTATGCATAAGCATGTGATTTGCGTTTAATAATTGTGATTGGTGCTTAGTAATCTTTTTTTAAAAAAAAGTTATGACCTTTCATCGATCCGGTACCGCAAGTCTAATTATCGAAATACATATTTTCCAACATGTACTTTCAGAATCTGTGAGAATCCCAAAGCCTTAATAAATCAGTTTTCCTTAAATTAAAGCTTAAAATTATATAATTTTATAGATTATAACCAATAAGTTTAAAAGTAGAAGCCAAAACACTGCTCTGTATCTTTACTATTTTTGCTACAAAGTACCTGAAAAGTAGTTTACTAAATCGTATAGAAAAATATAAAACCGAAGAAAGACAACAGTGGTGAAATGCATTGGCTAATACAGTAACAAAAAAACTAACAGAATTGGCTAAGTATTTTTCTGAATTTACTCTATTCGTTGAATCACTTAAAAATTACTCTTTATATAAACGGCATTATAACCAGATTGTTGCCAAACCTTCTTTTATTAAACAATTAACAAACGAATCAGGTTTTTTAAATTTAGATGAGAACGAAAGAAAAAGGTTAAAACTCTCTAATGATAATGAAAAAAATTTTGCTGATTTTGGCATACAAGTTGAACCAACTTCCGTCGACTTTGGAGTTCAAGTATCTTTGTCAACTATCAACGTTGGAGTTCAAGTATCTTTGCCGACCATTGACTTTGGAGGTCAAGTATCTTTGCCGACCGTTGACTTTGGAGTTCAAGTATCTTTGCCAGATCTAAAATATGAAATTCTTTTAGAACAAATTAGTAAGCTAGAAAGTGCTAATACACAATTGTTAGCTAAAAATAAAGTATTAAAAAAAGTTATATGAAAGATTTACTAACCAACAAGATCGCATTAAGTCTATTATAGAAATTGCCAAAAAGAAACGAAATAATTTGTATAAAGATATAGAAGGTTTGGTGAAAAATCCGGGATGATTTTCTTTGGATAGTCTTCTGGAATATTCTCCTTTCAAATGGTTTGCAAAACGAAATCCAGTTATTGTGAAGTTTATAGAAACTCTTACTCATAATGAAAATAAACAACAACATGGAGAAAAGTTTTTTAAATATGCCGTAGTCATTGATGCTATATATGGATCAAGCACTTGAAATATATTTCTGCAATCAATTTGGCTGCTTCGGCTATTAAGTATTCGTTAGCAAGGTCAAAAATGATTGTGGATATTGACAATCATATTATTAGTTCCGGTAGCTATTCAAAATTTACTAACTGGCTAGAAAATTTAGCTATAGAACAGCCACCACTTCCTGATGGTCTTCTATTTTTGGCTTTCGACAATAAGCAAAAAGGCCAAAAAAATTATTTGGATCATGGACATACGGTTATATTCCATACCGTTACGAGTTTTGTTGCCTTTAATTATGATCAAAGCAACAATATTCAAACTATGAATCCCTGGCTATATTCTGAACCTACCCAAAAACAATATGAAGAATTATTCTACTTAACATTGGGTATGAAAGATGCAATTCATAAAGAACTTACTAACTATCTTTCAGTTATTTTAGAAGAACTTCTTCTCGAGAAAAATCAAGAAACAAATACGATTGATAACTTGATAAACTCTCAAAGCCAGATAGAAAATATGAAAAAATGCCGGTTTTGTCAAGTCTCTGATATCGATAATAAGAAGCGGGTTTGTCCTAATTGTCATAATAAATTACCTACAATTAGTGAAATGAATCAACAATTTATTGAACAATCTAATATTAAAAATACTACTGACAAGCCTCTAGTTGTTTGTCCTTATAGGTTTAAAGAATTAAATATGCAAGGATCGGTTCTAAAGGTTTATGAGCCACAAATATTTATTCCTGATCTGATAAGAATTAATCTCAATTCGATTGCTAATATTCGAAAAGTTCTTGAGCATATCGAAAAAGCATCTGGAGTTAAAGACAATAGACGTAAATGGATTGCAGTTACGTGTGATGGAGTGCTGTATCATCATATACTGAAAATGAAAAAAGATTTTCCTTGGCTTATATTAATTCTAGGTGCTCTTCATAAAGAAATGAATATGTTAAAGGCATTCGTCGAGTTGAATTGGGATATTGACATGAGAGATTTTGCTCATTGTCAAGGGTATCAAACTGAAAATCAACTTCAGTTCTTCAAAAAATGTTCAGATCATCACAAATCGTGGGATTCAGTATGTAACATATACAGACATGCAATGGCATCTGAATTGATGTGACCATATATTATGTATGAAGAAAATACTTTTGTCGAAGATTATTTAAAATGGGCCTAAGAACAAACAGATCCTATGTATAAATTAAAGTATGAACAAATCTTTCTTTATTTGCAAGCAATTATTAACTTTCGTACTGGAGTTCGTTTTAATAGGTCTTTACTAAGACTTGCGGCTAGAAGAATGTTTGCGCCTATTTGGTCTGCTCGATGGCATCCAATTTATCGATTAATCGAGGTTTATAATGAAGAGCAAATATTACGATTGAAGCCTGAAGTTTTTAACTTAATCCAAGAGAGAATCGTAACTTCACGATCCAAACTTTCGAATCAACATTAAGGCCATGATGCAATACTTGAAGAAATTAATAGGGCGCTCAAATCATTAATTCCTCTGATATTTTCACAACGATATTGGGGAATTGCAGCACGTAATTATACTAAGTTTTTAAAATTGCGTACTAATCTTTTTAAGCTAATAGGATATTATGAAAGTGAAACCCAAGAACCTCGTACACGTCCTGGTTTTACTGGTGAATCAAGTCGTTATC